CCATTTTGTTCTGATAAAGAATAGTTTTACCTTAGAATTTATATTTTAAGCTTCTTTACAATGATGGAAATACCATTATACAATAAAATCAGCAGGTTGTGCTTTCTTAAAACCCCAAGTCCAATTGTTGTGACCTTCACAATCAACTTAATTAACTGGATTTCTCTTAGTGAAAGCAACAGTGTTGTTGTTGTTTTTTAGACTGTCGAAATGTGTTAATAGCTCATCAGCAGGGTATTAATGTTCATTTTTGTTCAACAAAGAAGGCAGATACGCCTTTCACAGTTTATTAATTTTAAAGTTCCCTAGACTAAAATCAACTAAGAAGGTTAGAAGCCTATTAAAAGTTGGAATGAATGACCTGATTGACCATAATTGGCATCTACATGTGTTTTGACAAGGAGTGGCATATTCAGCCATCACAGTATTAGAGTATGTGAACAAGTTAGAAGTACTTGTGAGGTCAAAAGATAAAGCTTCCAGAAACTGCTGCTAATTAAACTTCAGGGAGAGGAGTAAGTTTATGCACAAGAAAGAGGCCCATGATGAAAGCTTTTGGAGTTTGTTTTAAAAAAAATATTCTAAGAAATAGGATTATAGTCCAGAAGATCACAGAACAAAATCCCATGAATTTCCTCTATGTCCCCCTTCTGATAAAAGAAAGACAACTTGTTCAGGAAAAAAGAGTTAGATCAACTGATATGGTCTGTCTCTTCTCTATTGAATAAACTCCAGTGGCTCCTCATTACCTCCAGGATCAAATATAAAACCCTCTGTTTGGCTTTTAAAACCCTTCACCACATGGCCCCTTCCTACTTACCTTTCTAGTCTTTTTATACCTTATTCCTCTCTATATACTCTTGTGTCACCGGCTTCCTTGCTGTTCCTCCCAATGTCACACTCAAATCTCCTGGCTTCTATTTCTGAGACTTTCCCCTGACTGTCCCCCATGTCTGTCATTCTCTCCCTTCTTATCTTTGCCTCCTGGCTTCCGGAGTTTCTTCTTCAAGTCTCAGCTAAAATTCTACCTTGTGCTTCAAGAAATCTTTCCTAGTCCACCTTAATTGTTTGTAACTGGTTGTTGGTGTCTTGTTTCCCCCATTAGACTAAGAATTCTTTGTGAGCAGAACCTGTTTTTTCCCCTTTCTTCCTAACCCTAGCACTTAGCATAGTGCTTGGAACATAGTAGGTGCTTAATGAATGCTAGTTGACTGACTGACCAGATCTTTGGCACATTGTCCACAAGACAATGGATTGATTGACTGGTTTCTAAATTTTTTCCATCATTATCATTACCATAATTATCATCATAATAATAGCTTAGCTGACCTTGACAAGAAGTTACTAAATGCTCTATGATATGGTGAAGAGGCAAAGTAATGAAAAAACTCAATTCAACTCAATGGGTATTTATTTAGCACCTACTATGGGAAGAATGGGAGGCAGAATAACGTAGGAGAGGGAGAGGGACAGAGAGAGAGAAAAAGAGAGAGAGAGAGAGAGAGAGAGAGAGAGAGAGAGAGAGAGAGAGAGAGAGAGAGAGAGAGAGAGAGAGAGAGGAAGGGAGAGAGAGAGAGAGAGAGAGAGAGAGAGAGAGAGAAGAGAGAGAGAGGAGAGAGGGAGAGGAGAGAGAGAGAGAGAGAGAGAGAGAGAGAGAGAGAGAGAGGAAGAGAGAGAGAGAGAGGGAGGGAGGGAGGGAGGGAGGGAGAGAGAGAGAGAGAGGAAGGGAGAGAGAGAGAGAGAGAGAGAGAGAGAGAGAGAGAGAGAGAGAGAAGGAGAGAGAGAGAGAGAGAGAGGGAGGGAGGGAGGGAGGGAGGGAGAGAGAGAGAGAGAGAGAGGAAGGGAGAGAGAGAGAGAGAGAGAGAGAGAGAGAGAGAGAGAGAGAGAGAGAGAGAGGGAGAGGGAGAGAGAGAGAGAGAGAGAGAGAGAGAGAGAGAGAGAGAGAGAGAGAGAGAGAAGGAGAGAGAGAGAGAGAGAGAGAGAGATGCCAGATTTAGAGTAGGAAGTCCTTCATTCAAGTCCTGCCTCAGACAATACTTGGATGTGTGACCCTGACCAAGTCACTTAATGCTTTAATGTTCCAGGCTGATTTCTGAAATTATAAGTGGACCACAGTTGCTGATTTGTATTTGTAGAGTTTCCCCACATGGAGCTCCCCTTATCAGTGAAATCAAAATATCAGAATAAGCAAACAAAAGTTGACATATAATATCTAGGAAACATGTAAGGTAAACATTAAAGACCAATTATAAGGGACTCAATAAGGTCAAGCTGTTTACTTTGTATATGTGAAAATATTAACAGTACACTTATGACTGTCATCATTGTTTGGGTAGTTTGAAAGAAAGGCTTGGGCTGAGCTGAGTACGAAGGAGTGATTCTAAAAAAATAAAACTGTAGGGAGAGATAAAAAGGAATAATTATCTCATACAAATGAGACACAAAAGGAAGAATTGATACCGAAGAAGCTAATAGGGGAGAGGGCAGGTAGTGCTGGAACATTACTTTCTCAGGAATGGGTTAAAGAAGAAAAAAAAATATATGTATTTATAATATACACGTATATGTAGGTATGTGTGCATGTATAAAAGTCTTCCAAATTCAGAAAGAAATAAGAGAAGATATGATGGGGGGAAAGGAGAAGGGAAGGACTTTTAGGGGTGGGTAGGTTAAGGAATAGGAGGGCAAGGTAGTGGGTAAAAGTAAAGCAGAGGAGTAAGGAAAGATAGGGTAAATAGAGTGAGAAGGATAGTGAGGAAAAATAGGAAGGAGGAAAATACACAACAAGTAATTATAGCTTAGAATGTGAATGGGACAAATTTGCCTATAAAACTGAAATGGATAGCAGATTAAAAATCTGAATTCAACAATATGTTGCTTTCAAGAACATTATAAAAATGAGAGATACACACAAAGATAAAATGAAGGGCAGGAGTAGAATTTATTTTGTAAAAAAAAAAGCAGGGATAGTAATCAGACAAATCTCAGACAAAGTTAAAATAGGTTTAATCAAAATGAAAAATAGAAAAACTAAACTGTGTCAGCGACATTATTCAATATTATTTTAGACCATTTAAAATACCTAGACAGTATAAAATACCTGAGCATATACCTGCCAAAACAGAACTTTATGAACATAAACAAAAAAACACTTTTTATACAAATAAACTCATCTAAGCAATTGAAGTAATATTTATTGTTCATGGGTAGAAATATATTTATTCAATGTCAGTCAATTAAATTACTAAAAGTATTTTACTGAGTTAGAAAAAATAACCACAAAGCTAATTTGGAAGAGGTAAAGATAAGGAACTTTGAAGAAACCAGTAAAAAAGAAGTAAAGAAAGTAGATTCAGCAGCATCAGACCTTAAACTATGTTATAAGAGAGAGCATTGTTGAAGTGTAAAAAGGATAATTTTGAATATTTTAAATTAAGATCTTGTATACATAAAACTTATGTAGCTAAGAAGAGAAGGAATGCAGAAAACTGGGAAAAAACTTTCATAGTCTCTCAGATAGGATCTAATTGGGTTGGTCTACTGCTGTGGTGTAGGAAATGATGAGCTGGTTGATTTAGAAAAACATGGAAAGATTTGAACCTCTGGAGGAAGATGATATTCACCTTCAGAGAAGCATGATAGGTGGAAATAAGCATAGTATAGTCTTATATATATGTGCATGAGTGTCTATATGTATATATGTATGTTTGTAGATATGTATATGCACATATACATTATATAATATCTACATATCTACATATAATATATATGTTTATATATTATATTTTTATATTTATATATAATATATATGTTTAATTGTAGCCTTCTTTAGTGTGTGTGTGTGGCATAGGGAGGAAAAAAAAATAAAGTAAAAAGTGCACAGCAGAGAATGAAAGAAAACCAACAAGGAAGCAAAGAAAAAAACTGGGCAGCTCTGAAAACTGTATTATTTATTGTATAGGTTTTTTAAAAATTATTATTTTTTTTAAAAAGTTCATACCCTCAAGGATCTTCCGTTTTATGGGAACACAGAACAGATACACAAAAAAGTTAATTTGAAGAGAGTGAGAGGACTAACAATTAGAGGGATCAGAAAGGGTTTTGTGTAGCAGCTGGCACTTGAACCCTGAAGGAAGCTCAGTATTCTAAATTTCAGGAGTGAAGAGGGAGCTTAGAGAGTTGGCCAATTCCAAGGCATGGGAATAGAAGATGAAATGCTGAATCTGGTAAGAGCTTGCTGGCCTGACTGGAGCAGAGAGTTTATCGAGTGGAGTTGTATATGCATAATTCTGGAGAGGTGTACTAAAGCCAGATTGTAGAGGACTTTAAGTGCTAGGATGAGGAGTTCTTATTTTATTCTAGAAGCAGTAAGTAGCTACTGCAGCTTCTTGAGCAGGGGAGTGGTCATACCTGCATATTACGAATATTAATTTGGCAGGTATCTGGAGGATTGGTGAAATAGGACAAAGATTGGAAGCAGGGTGTGATGTATGAAAAGTCTGAGAGAAATAATTTCTGGGTAATTAATAATCAACTTATTAATTATGGCTAGCTAATAATTAATAAATGAGGTTAGTGGCACTCTTGGGAACTAAAGATGAACTTTGGGGGCCACTGAACATTTATATAAACTTGTAAGAATGTGTATTCCCAATAGGCAGAAATCAACTTTGGTTAATAATTAATGAGAGAATGAATATTTAATTAGTGAGAGGTGGGCCTATTCTAATGAGAGGCTGGGTATGTGATTCTGATCATGTCACTCTTGGACCAAGAGACTCATCTCCATACCCAGAACACACCTATCAGGGCAATCTAGAGTAGAAAAAGGGGTCTATTCTCCATCCAGTAGAATAATGGTGGGGTTAGGTAAGAATTCCACCTAGAAAAGATGGTCTGGGTAGGGTGAATTCTTTAAAGGCTTAGCTTTGAATGAAGAAATAGGGAAAAAACCTGGATTCCCCCATGTTAATTGGTTATTTATAATTATTTCTCTCAAGGGTCATCAATTAGAAGACTCTTGCAAGAGTTCAGGTAAGAAAAGATGATTGGTCTTGTGAATGGAGAGGAGGGGGTGGTGTTGAGAGCTGTTGTAGGGAGAGTTTCAATTGGACTTGGCATCTGTGGGCATGGGTGAGGTGGAAGAAAAAATTAAAGAACTATGTGTTTGGAAGAATAGGAATAGGAATGGTAATGGGTTCTTGTGTGTGTGTGTGTGTATGTGTGTGTGTGTGTGTGTGTGTGTGTGTGTGTGCGCGCGTGTGTGTGTGTGTGTGTGTGTGTTGTTTGAGATATTAAAGGCTCATCCAGATATTAAAGGTTATGTCCAGCAGGCATTTGGTGATATGTGATTGTAGCTCATGAGACAGATAAGGGATGTATATATCTAGATCTATATCATCTATATATATTTGGGAGTCATTACATTGGGGTAAAAATTGAATTTAGGGAATATGATGAAATTACTGTTACTGAGAATGTCCAGAGAAGAAAGCCCTAGGACAGAGCTTTGCAGAAAACCTAGGGTGGGAGATAGATGATGAGAATGAAGAGCATCCAATCCATCAAAGAAAAAATGTAATAAGCATTTACTATGTTTCAGGAATTATGCTACGCACTGGGTAGGGATAGAAAGAAAAGCAAAAGCACCATCCCTTCCCTCAAGAAGCTCACATTCTAATAGAGGAGACAGCGTGCAAACAAACTCAAAACATATAGGATAAATTGGAATTAATCTCAGAGGCAAGGCAGTAGGATTAAAGGTGATTGGGAAAGGCTTCTTCAGAAGTTATGATTTTAGCTAAAACTTTGAAGGAAGACAGGAAAGTCAGAAAGCATGGAGGAGGAGGGAAAAAATTTCAACTATGAAGGACAGCCAGTGAAAATGCATGGAGTTGGGAGATGGAGTGTCTTGTATGAAGAACAGTAAGGAGGCTAGTGTTTAATAGATTGTAGAGGATATGAAGGTCAGTAAGGTGTATGAAGACTGGAAAAGTTTAAGAGGCTTTAAAAGCAAAATAGAGGATTTCATATTTAATTCTGGAGGCAACAGAGAGCCATCTGAGTGTATTGAACTAAGGTGTGTGTGACAAGGTCTGACTTGCCCTTTAAGACCAATTTTTCAGCCGAGTGGAGGATGGACTGGATTGGGAGACTCTCAACACAGGAAGACCAATCAGCAAACTATTGCAATAATGCATGCAGGTGGGCGGTAAGGAGGGCCTACACCAGGGTGCTGGCAGTGTCTGAGGAGAGACTGAAGCATATGTAAGAGATGTTATGAAAGTAGAATCCGCAGAGAGTGAGATGTTCAGGATGACACCGAGGTTGTGACCAAAGTAATAGAGATTTTTCAGGGGGAGGAGTGTGGTTGACAGTATCACAAGCTATCACAAGAGTTTAAATAGGATAAAGAGGGAAAAAAGGCCACAGGACATAAGTAAAGTAGAAGATGAGGTGCTCTGCTGAAAGGGACCTGGATTAGGGAACTTGTGTAGAAAAGAGAAGCTTAGAACAGTTGCTGTGGGTAGTGTTATAAATAATCAAGGATTTTTTGCAATCATGAGGATTCAATTGAGATTAGAGAAAAAATTGTAGTGGATCAAGTTGGCATGGTTATTTGAATTCTATCAGGGTTTAGTAGCCGTGAGTAGGAGGGAAAAAAGCAGACAGTGAAAGAAAGCAAGCTTGGGATTTGGCAAGCTATAAGCTATACTAAGAGAAGGAGACAAGAGAGTCAAAGAGGCTGGGGTGTGGGGGAAAATACATGATCAAGACTCTGAAGGGTGGGTAGTGAGGCCAGAGTATGGGTGATGAACAGGGGAAAACATGGACAGTTGGATTGGAAGTCATGGCAAGGGTAAAGACAAGGCTTATGAGAAGTGAAGAAGAGGGAAGGAATGGTAGGTTGTGATCAGGTAGGAATTTTAGAATTCGAAGTAATGAAGATAGCACAGTTACAGATAACAATTAGATCTAAGGTCTGATCATCCCTGGGAGTGACTGGGGCAGGGTGAAGGAATGTCATGAGAGCTGAGGAGATGAGTCAAATAAGCAGCCAGTGTGTTTGGATGGAGACATCTATGTATCCAGATCGCTACATACATCTTTACATACACACGTATGTGTATATGTCATATAAACACATTCTTGAATATAAGGGCATGGGTTGGAGTGCAGAGGAATCCTGAGAGTGAAATACCAAAAATTAAAAAAAAATTGGAAACTATTATACTCAATTATGTATCAACAACTGAAAATATAAATGAAATGGATAAATATAAAAATTTAAAATATCTAGATTAACAAAATGACAAATAAAGAATCTAAATAGCCTGATATAAAAATAAATTGAGCAAATTGTGAATGAATAATGAGAAGAGAAAAAAATCTCATGTCCAGATGGATTTATAAGAGAATTCTATCAAATATTTGAAGACTGGATAGCTCCTATGATACATAAAGTGTTCACAAAAATAAAGAAGGTACTGTACTCAAACTCCTTCAAAGAGAAAAATATTGTCTTGATGTCTAAATCAGGGAGAAATAAGGCAGAGAAGGAAAACTAAAGACCAATATCAGGAATTATTATTTTTTAGGTACTGGACCTATGATTTCATTGCTATAGGGAAGTCCTGGTAAAGATATTTCTTCAAAAAGTACAGATTGGCACCTGCTCACTACTCATAAAGCAGAAACACTTTTCTAAATCTGAAGTCTTAGGAGGGGCAGCCTGATCTCTAATGGATAAAAGGCTGAGTGATCCTGGACAAATCACTTAACATCTCAGTGCCTTAGGCAGTTCTTTCAGATCAAGAATAAATATTGATATAAAATCACAGCAAAGAGACTGCATCAATATACTCCAAAACTATTGTATTAATACCAGGAATATAAGGACACTTCAGGAAAACTACAAATATAGCAAATCATATTTATAGCAAAAATAAAACAAATCAAATCATTTTTCAGGCGTGTGACCCATTTTTGGAGTTTTCTTGGCAGAGATACTGGAGTGGTTTGCCATTTCCTTCTCCAGCTCATTTTATAGGGGGACCTGAGGCAAAAAGGGTTAAATGACTTGCCCAGGGTCACACAGCTAGGGAGGATAAACAGGAGGAAGATCAATCCGCCACCCTAGCATCTCACTACATATCTATAGGGGAAGCTTATTGATGTTTCCATTAGTAGTTCCTCCACTGGTACAGATCATTCTACAACTGCCTGAAGCAAAGGCCTGACCCTGGCAATTCTCTGCTCAATAAACTTCATGGCTCCCTCCTACCTCTAAGATAACTCCTTCCCAATAACTCCTGCAGACAAGTCTTTCTGGCTTTATCTGCTGTGCTACCTATCTGCCCAAGTAACAGTCATAGCTAGCATTATATATAGTGCTTTAAAAGCTGCAAAGTACTTTACATGTGTTAACTCATTTGATCCTCACAACAACCTTGGCAGGTAGGTACTATTATAATCCTTATTTTATTGATGAGGAAATGGAGGCCTGAGAGAGGTTAAGTGACTTGCCCAGGGTCACACAGCGAGCAAATGTCTGAGGACGGATTCAAACTCAGGTCTTCCTGGATTCTAAGTCTAAGACTCTATTCACTGTACCACCTCACTGCCTGCCATGTACTAGGCATTATATTAGCAGCAGGGAATAGACAGATATTACCAAAACTTTCTCTCCCCTCAAGGAATTGACTTTCTGTCTCGGCAGGGAGAGAATAAACATAGACAGAGAAAAATAAGTACAAAATCTATATGAAATAAAACAAAGTAATCCCAAGTCAGAGAGATTGTTAAAAACTGGCAGGATCGAGAAAAACATAAATTGGGAGGGAGCTACTTGAGAGAAAGAAGGATTTCTGGAGGTAGAGGTAAGAGGGAGAGTATGGGGGACCTAGGCAGAGGTAAGAGATGAAAACTAAGTTGATGTGCTTAGCTGGAATGTAGAGAGTATTAATGGGAGTAAGGTGACATCAGTCTTGAAAGAGGTTGGAGTCAGATTCTAAAGAGATTTATGCTCTAAACAAAGTTAAAGACACAGCCCTCCTTCCTATTAAAAATTGATAAATGAAATTTTTTTTGTCTTAGCAATGGGGTTTGAACTTTGTAGTAGGGTCTTTGGGGTGTGTGCATGTGTGTGTGTGTGTGTGTGTGTGTGTGTGTGTGTGTGTGATTATTGGGAAGATGTTATCTTACAGGTAATCGGGGCTACTGAAGTTTATTGAGTGGAAAACTGCTGAGATCAGACCTGGGCTTCAGGAAGTTGTAGAAGGATCTGTACCAATGGAGGGAATATCAGTAGATGAAATCATAGATCCTTGGAAATATCAATATGCTTCCCCTATAGATATGTAGTGAGATGCCAGGGTGGAGGATTGATCTTCTTCCTCCTTATCCTCCCTAGCATATGGCAGCCAGGTGGTGCATTGCGTAGAGCACTGGGCCCGTATTCAGGATGATCTAAGTTCAAATCCAGTCTCAGACACTTACCAGCTGGGTGACCCTAGGCAAGTCACTTCACCCTGTTTGCCTCAGTTTCCTCATCTGTAAGATGAACTGGAGAAGAAAATGGCAAACCAGTCCAGTATCTTTGCCAAGAAAACCCTATGGGGTCATGAAGAGTTGGACACAACTGAACAACCTGGATGTTGTGAGAAGCCACCTGAAATACATGTTGGTATCCCTCATCCATCCAGACGATCACAGGAAGCTGGGGAGGAACTGGGAGGAGGAAGCTTGTGCAGTTAATCACGGTGGATCATGGGCCTTGAGGGATAAAGATAAAGAAAGTAGAACATTCATGATAGGAAGGCATGCTTCAATGGGGCAAGAGGTCTGGAGACCATCATGCCAGGACACTCTCAGAACGGAGTCCTTGAGTTTCCAGAAAAATTCACCTGAAGAATGACCTAACAGAGACACCAACTGCCAGCTGGGAGTTGTTAGGGTAGAGAACTCCAGGGGGAGGTAGACAGCAGCCCTGGGAAGAGGCTGTGTTTGTGCAGCTGTCTGTAATCATGAATTAC